TCCTGCAATCGAATCAGAATCTTAGAATCTGTGAAATTTACATGAATTAGCTCCTTGGCGACTCCAGCGACAAACCACACGAAACACCATGGACTTGTTCGAGCTGTGAAGTGCAAAAACTCAATTGTCATAGCCGGCTCTGTGTATTGGTATACATGTATAAATATACACACATATATACACGGAAAAAGAAAACACACTTTACACCACTTTACACGCTTAGGTAGTTCACCTGCACAGCTGAAGGCGTTGACAGCTGTCACATGCCGCACATGGACGGCCGTGCACTCCGTCCTTTCACGGCCTTCATCATCTGCCAGGCACTCCGTGTCAGTGACCGTGAGCTGGGGCGAGCGGATGGGCGGCAAAGGAAAACTTACCATCCTTGTAATGTGCAACACTTCACACACACAGGATAGAAGTATGTACGATATGAATGCTACATGCCACACGCAATCTGGGTATGAAAACCTAAGAGTCCAGGGGTATGAAAACGTATGCGTCCTAGAAGTAGTAGTAGGGTCATGTCAAAACAAAAAAACTGCGGTACTTATGATATCTTCTGATTATATATATACTCTGAAGGAGGGTTTGCGCATCAGAGAGGGCAGCACATCCCAAAGAGGAATTTGAAGACAGACTGAAGGAAGGAGCAAAGTCCAGCAACAGGAGGCTGATGCTCGTGACACTCATTCCCGAGCAGTGAAAGAAAATAAACAACACTTGACAGCCAAGAAGGCAAAGACCGGCAACACTCTGCAAACCTCCAAGTACGAATGGTACGAGGTAGCTCTAGGCCTTTTTGCAAGCTGTTTTGCGCTGTGGGCACGGTGGGAAGAGAAGAGAACGCGAGAGGCAGGAACAAAAATGCAATGTTCGACATGGTGATTTATCCCCTCGGAGGCGACCTGTCGTAAAAATATATGCATATGCACTCTAAATGTTGAAACATATGCTCTCGAAATATTCAAAAAGATTCTGAGGAAAACAAACTTGCCCCATGGCTCAGATCATCGGTGAGCATTGAATCGGAGCATCATAGGATTTGAACTATCCTGAAACCATAAGAGGCTCACGAAGACGTTTCGCAGGAGAGAATTGACGTGCTTCACAAAACAAACTCTAGGTATGTATCCCCATCGGGGAACACCTTTCGTGATTAGAATGTCATATGCACTCTTTCTGAATGTTCAAGAGGGTTTCAACTATCCTGAAATCATGAGAGGCTCGCGAAGACGTTCTCCAGGAGAGAATTTAATTTAAAGGGGGGGGGGCTGTTTTAAGGAAAAAACAGGGGGGGGGGTTGAATTGAGTGATCAATTATTAGACCCGGACGCGCCAACACTTGCTTCGTAAGACAAACTCAAGGTATCCCCTAAAGGGCTACCTTTCGTGACCAGGGCGATTAAGCGCTGGGCTCAGGGATAAATGCCGAAAGTGGCACTTAAGAAGGCGCAGGAAGCGGAAAAAAAGGAAGCAAGGAGGATCGACGCCGAGGTGAGAGGCGTCCTAGAATACAGAGTGGAGAGGCATCTGGCGAAAGTGAAAGCCTCAAATCCTCCAACACACACACACACACACACTTGTATGCAATTGCATGTCCACATCCGTACGTTCACAGACTTGAGTGACAGAGTTTGAGGCTGCTCTCTCTCTCTCTCTCTCCCTGAGGGTTCTCCTCAACATCAATGATATGGAAACCCACTTACAGTAACCTAAAAGTGCATTGTCATTGGGCGTGAGACTCCCGAAACTTCCACGATTGCCTGCCGCACTGGAGGTTCTTTCTCGCGAGCTTCCCGACCTTGGCTGCTGGAGACCAAGTCAGGTTCTGTATCAACATCTCTCAGTGTTTCTAACGGTCCACACCCAGGCTCTAGCTGCCTAGTTCATCTCCTTAACTGTAGGGGATTGAACCATGGCCAGCCTGTCCACCGGTCCGTGTTGCACGGGTAGTGCTCCACCCGGGTCCAAAGCATAAGGGACGAGTCAGTCCGCCACTGTCCGACCATACCGTCCCTTTGTTTGACCTCCTACATATTTGCAAATGAGCTCCATTCGTTGAGCTTGAATATGTGGAGGTAGCAAACTACGTAGTATTTCAGATTAAAAAAATCAACCATTTTATGGTACATCCTTCGAAGCTTTCAGGCAAGCCACTCTTGGATGCCATTCGCCTTGGATGGCTAAACAACTATCTGATTGAAAGTGTCTGATGGTGTTAAAGTGCACTCTCATGCTCTCCCAGATTTGAATCTTGAATGTGCCCATGGCATTAGCGACCGGGATGTCATTAGCGCAACTCAAGCGTCCGCGGAGGAGGCTCCTCGATGTTGCCCTGTGCCAATGCAAACAATGAAAAGTACTCAAGACAAACAAACCAACCAAACAAACATCAACGCTTCTTCTGATGCATGTATGTCCCAGTCTCAGTCCCTGGGTATATGTTAAAGTCTCAGTGAGTTGGCTGCTTGCTCCCTTCATATACTCTTTCAAAAGGCCACCGCACGCCTCTGACGATCCTATTCCTGAGTGATGTTGCCAGGGAAACATAATGCTTCTGAAGGACAGACCTGCCTGTCGTAGGTGTTCTACCCAAAAGAACTTTAGGGTGCAAAACTTCCGTGTTATGGACTTTCAATAGCTCTATGTCTAGTTAGCTCTTGTTCCAGGTAGCTCTTCAACATGCATTTTGGAAGGAAGTCTCGTACAAAATGTTTTTTTCAACAGCTCTAGCTCTAGTTAGCTCTTGTTCCAGTTAGCTCTTCAACATGTATTTTGGAAGGAAGTCTCGTACAAAATGCGTCTTTCAACAGCTCTAGCTCTAGTTAGCTCTAGTTCCAGTCAGCTCTTCAACATGCATTTTGGAGGGAAGTCTCGTACAAAATGAGCTTTCGAGAGATCGCGGACGCACGAAATGCTGTGTTTTTGAATACAAAGGATTGCTCCGAACCTGGCAAGTCAAGCTCTGCATGGCACTTTCATGTCTGGTTGGATCATGCCTTCCAGTTACATTTTTGGAAGGAAGTCTCGCAGAATGGCTTCGTTTTGCAGGTGCTCAACATGCACTTTGGAAGGAAGTCTCGTACAAAATGCATTTTCGAGAGGTAGCAGACGCACGAAATGCTGCGTTTTTCAATACAAAGGGTGGCTCCGAACCTGGCAAGTCAAGCTCTGCGGATCGACGGTTGCGGAACGTCCTCGCGTCATGCCCGGATCATTCTCGGATCATGCTCGAATCGTCCCTCCATTGTAACTAGAGTTTTCACCTGTTTCTTGTGTACGTGCTGTTGATGGAATTCCATTGCGTTTTGATGCGTTTTGCAACTCCTGGATGGTTTCCGCACTGTGCGGTGGTGTGACCAGCCGGGAAATGCTCCTATGTCCGTCGTTGAGAACCGCATAAACAGCTGCTACCGCGCAGGACTCTTTGCACTGTGTGGAAAAAAACGATGTGGTGAGTCGGTGACGCATCGGCTGTGCTCTTGGACTTCTGTGCGTTGCTGTGACCACCGATGAAAAGCAAAAGAAAAAACCACTGCATGTATAGTGCCAAAGCGACTACGCCGTTGTGGGCTGCTTGCATGACGCCATCGTTGCGGGCTGGGAGAAAAGGGGGTCCGCAGGGCATGTGCGAAGGGACACTCCTTTGGGTCAAATTGTTTTTATAGGAAACTTCCGCCGCCGGCTTGCCAGGGAACTGCTTGTATTGATGGCATTGCAACCATTTATCACCAACACCTTCAAGCGGCTCTTACATGGCCTTGTGCAGTATCAAAGTGGAAACTCAAACGCACAAAATCAATAAAATTATGTAAAATTCAATAAATATCAGCTCTGCAGCTCTGCCTCCGTTCTTTGAGACTTTTAAACACCATCTTGCAGCTCTGCGTCTCATTTCGATCGTGCTTTTCCTGTCGAGTGGTCCGAGATATCTACAGTACATGTGCACATGATAAATAACATCTTGCACACACGCACACAAGCACACGCCAACAAATATATATGTATTATATATAAATAAATATATATATCGTTATATATCCACATCATTCCACATTACATTTAACAGCCGCCATCATCAGCATGCCTTCAGCTTGCTGAAAGTCGACCCCTAAATTTGTGTTATGCCCTTCTGCATGACACGGAAAAGGCAAACACCAAAACTTAGTGGCGACAAGAAATTGCCTCACAGGCTAACCCTAGCGATCCGAAGGGTGAGATTGAAGAGAGGCTTTACATGTTTATGCACAAACCAAATGCTTGAGTGCACAAAGCACAAACTCTTGAGGGATCTGTCAACTGAACAGTGCCTTTTTGATGCCTTTTGCATCCGAATCCTGCCCCCTTCCCTCCTGTATTTGGGCGAGTCAATGATGCGGCCCTTGGAGCTGCTTCTCCTCATACGCTTCACGAGTTCATGTAGCCCGGCGCTTTCTTTCCCTATGCCTATATATGCCGACATACACTAGTCATCACTAGCTCAAGAAAAGAGAACCTTGTTCTGTTCTTGTTCCAAGTATTCTTGCATGCAAACATGAAAAGTCCCCCTCGTCCAGCATCGTTCACAGGCCAAGCTACTCAGAGATTTGGGATATATTCCTCGGCAAAAGCAGATCTGACAGGATAAGCACCCGAATACCCAACAAACATATGCCATCATCTAGCAACAAGTCTTGTGGTCAAAAGCAACAAAAAAGGATGAATTTTGGCCCCTCTCTGGAAAAGCAAATCTCAGTTCCACATCTAAGATGCGTGATGTTCTTCCCACGGTTCTTTCTGCCACGGTCTAAGCTACACCAATTTTTTATCATCCGAGGTACAAACCAATCAGCATTCGGTTCTCTTCGTTGGAAGAAGACTTCGATGCCCTTCGGTTGCCTCGGGTAGAGCCCGGTCGCATCAGGATCAAGGGAAGGAAACACGACTCTCCTGGTAAGATTTGTAACATATTGGGTAAAAGCTGCAGCAAGCAAAGCCAACACGCAAATGCGGCCTTTCCTCACCTCACAGTTCTACGACTGATCCTGACTCATGGCTGGGCCTTTCGAGGGCCATGCCATTCACACCCATTTTCAATCTATGTTTCAATATGTTCAATTCAATGATTCAAGTCCATTCAAGACGACTCAATCGATGGAGGGGAATTCGCCTCCAGGGCCCGTGTCACAGCAGCCTCTAGGAAAAGATTCTGATCCTCTTCAGTCCGGGCCTGGCGCCAGTGCCAGTATTGCAGGTTCAACATCCGATAACCATCACGCTGAAGCAACCGATGCTTCATATGCCTTGAGGTTGGCCAGCTGACGATGTCAAGATCCACAGCGATTTTGGTATCCTCGTCGAACATGTCCACCCGATATGGTCCACACCCGGCGTTCCTTTGCATCTGCAATTCCCATTTCATTCCTTTGGTGGAGGCCCGCAATTGATTGAAACGCATCATCACTTCGTTGTGTAGCTTGGAATTCTCCAAGCGGTCCATTTCCATCTTGTCACAATCTTCACAGGCGGCCTTCCAGGGCGCGGGAACCTTTATGTCCAGATCTGCATAATCCATCTCCAGTGCACAACAAATATCAAACAACTTCAATAGTGGCTCACGATTTTGCGGTGTATTTCTCTCGAAGACCTCTCCCAAGGCACCTGTAAAGTGCTCCTGGAACTGGCCGACGAGGTCAAGGGCCGCCAAGGCCCAAACAAAGTCAATCAAGGAGTTGGTGCTTCTATTCTGAAAGCCCATCCTACCAGCCTCAGCATAACGACTTGCAAGTTCCTGGGCCGTTTCGATGTGATTTCTTGCATTCACCATGGCTAAGGCGAACAGAAACTCTGAGATCTGGGACGCAACCAGCTCGGTGATCTTAGGCCCGAGGGTTTTCACCAACTGATCCTGAGCTTGTCTGAACGCTTCCGACAACTTTGATCGGTTCGATCCTGGATACTGTCCTACTATGATAGATCATGATAGATCGATCAAATCAAACAATCACAATGAGACCTCATTCATTGCCTACTCACACAAACACACCACGCCGCGTCACACACTCCCAACCGCTCCCAATGTTCTACATCTAGAGTCTAGAAGCATCTAGAAACCCCCATCCGTCCAGAAAAAAACATGCTAAAAATAAAACACTTCTTGGCAAATCCGGGTCATCCAAGTCTTTGGCCTCCAAGATCCGCAGTCTGGCCATGGCATAGCTCATTGTGGCCAGTTGCTTCATCGAGAACTGCTCGAGGTTCTCAAATGCCAAAGCTCGGAGCCGGCTGAGCAGAAACCTCCGAGCCAAGCCCAAACGGCTGATGACGGCCACCGCATCCACCAGGTCTCGTGTGGTGAAGCGGTCCACCTCATCCGACATGCGCTCCACCAAGAAGTCGATCAGCTCTCGATCAAACACACCCCATCTTCGGAAGGCCTCGAGAAGGATGTTGCAGTGAGCTGGTTCGAGATCGTCGATTCGCTTCAGCACCTCCTTCCGAAGGAACTCGATAGTGGGTGCATCGCGAACGCCTCGCATGGACAAGGCCATGGCTACAGTGGCCAAATTCCGTGGACTTAAAGTGCCCCCGCGCTGGCACACCACTTCAGCCAAGCGTTGGGCCAAATCAGAGAGCTCAGGGGTTGAAGTGCGGCTGCATCGCGCGGCCGCATCAGAGATCTTGGCAAGCATTGTGGCATCACAATCCTCCAATCTGTTTGCCAGTGTGCTCAGGATGGCATGAAAGCGATCATCTTGAAGGAAGTCTGCTTGATTGCCTCTTTGAAGCCTCGCTAGAGAGCGCAAGGACGTCTCATAGGTCCTGATGTCGGCGTCACTATGCTGGCTCATGTAATCCAACACGTCCATAGGGTTGGTCATCTTCTGCAGGGTCAGGCAATAATTTCTGGCGAAACTGCAAGCAGTAACGCAGATTACACTGTATATTATGTAATAACGAAATATAACGAACGATGTGAAACGTTGATTAATTGCAAAATACCAAAATGACGTGATGCGCTTAAACAGTAAATTAAACCAGTAAGAGTATGAAGTCCCTAAACACCTAAGCTATAGATCATGATAGGTCAAATCATGTTCCCATCGACAGGCCTGCACCGAAACAATATGATCTTTGCTGTCCACATAGGCTCGCCGGCCGAACCGCCAAGGCTCACAACGGCGTAGCCGCGCTAGACCTACACCCGCTCGCATGGGGTATAACCTGTCCGGAAACCTCCTCACGCTGCACACAGCATTGGTGTGTTGAGCCTGGTCTCAAACATCATGCAAGTCACCGTGTTCAATAAAGGCGCTGAATCTACCCCGGAGTTCTGAGGCAACATCAGGCCAGCGGTCCTCTGCAAACCAGCGCAGAAGAACTGAAGAATTGTATTGAGAAAACTTATTGTGCAAATTGAAGCACCCCCCCAATAAAAACACTTGCACGAAATCCGGTGATGTGTAAGTGTTGGTCGTCACAGCACATTCAAGTGCCAGAACAAGAGGACCGATCAAGATTCGAATCATGATACTGCAGCATCAACGATGGAAAAGCAAAATGCTTCAAACGTTGCTACAAGTTTCTCGTGGCAACCGGGCATTCTACATCCATGATCACCCATGTGCCCTACCAGACCAGTGAGATGCAGCACTTACCCACAGTGGTCAACGATTGGCCACTGCGAAACTGCTACATTCACCAGGGACCGCCCGTGTGCTTCAATGCCTCCTGTATATGCTCCAAACTCCAAACAATCCATGACTCAATCCATGTTATTTGTTTTTAGCCGGGGTGTAGGCCTAAGTAGGTAAGCTCCTAGCAAGTAGTGCTACTAGGCTAGGACGCAGAACGGCTCAGGCTTAATGATTTGGTTCCTAGTATTTTTTGGAACCTTAACTCTGAATGTGGCTGGTAGCCCGGCTCCGAACTACACAGTTGTTTGCACACTTGAAGCTGAACCAAGGTACCATGGCGACGCGCTGGCACTTTGATTCCGCTGAGCTTGACCTGATGCACCAGCCAGACTTCTGTGACGTCTGGGATGGGTCATTTTCCATAGCAACACAACATGCCTAACATGCTGATGTGCAAAAATGAGAGGCCTTAGTGGCATGGACGTCCCTGAAACTGCTATTGCACAAAGAACGGAGAGAACGGAGGTGACGCTTCTCTTGTCCCATTCGCTCCGATGCCCACGGGTGCCCACTCACATGAACATAGTGGATAAACTACTTGATAGAGTACTACTTGAAGATACCAGCATCTCAGCGGGCCTGTTGCTTGATTGAACAACCTTGAACCTTTGGTAGATGTTGCCAGTGTGACAGCACAAGCACAGCTTCTGACAACACTGCGGTGAAGGCCTCCATGTTCTTCTTCAGCTTCAGAGTGAGTGTCTCTACTCGATCCTGAGATCGAATGCGGAAAAACTGAATTCCACGTGATCTTTGACAACAGTTCTGCACGTGCATTTTAAACCCCCTCTGAGCAACACTCCCATACAAAACTTCTTCTTGGGCTAAAGGGTGAGAAGGCATGTTCTAGAAGCAGGTTTCTGCTGCAGGAAGGGCTGGTTGTTCATCACCATTCTGAGTATCAGTGGACGGTGCAAGTCTTCCAAGTTTGACACAAAGCCACTTGGCAAAGTGGTTCCTCTTCATGAATCAGTCAGACTTTAGTTACTGCGCTTTGCCAATCACCACCCGGGCCAAAATTTATGACTTATGTTCGGCAATTTGCTGGGTGAGATTTCTGCTGGATTGCAAGGCGGCATTCGAGAATTAACTTTGTTGTGAACCGCGCTGTGCGCTGACGAGTGAGGCACAGTAAGTTGAAATGAGCCTGGGAGAAAATAGGTTGGGGCTGTGATGGGTTGGTACATGACCATGATGCACGTGAAAGCCGTGTAATAAAGCACAGCTACTAGCACAGCTGTATGAGAGTCTATGATCAAGTGATCAAGTCCAATTCCGCGAAAACCGAAAACCGTCTACAAACATAGAAAGACGAGGCCGAGCTGCTGTACGGCTGGCGGCTTTGGAGCTCATCCGCTGCAAAAACTCTGATAAAGACCTCCCAGTCCAGTTGCGAGTTTACTTAAAGGAAAAAGCATATATATATATACAGAAGGGGTGGCCATGGGGCCTGGGTTTTGGTTTTCCATAAATGTTCATAAATATTAGGTAAATGCATCAGTGCCACAATCAAAACCAAAAAACACTGATAAATATGCATAAAGGATAAAAACCAAAAAAGAACTAAAAGAGCCTTAAGAAAACAAAAAACAAAAAAGAACAATTCTGGGAGACTCTTGGCTGGACCCCCAAAATCAGAAAAACAAAAAAAACAAAAAACCTTGGGAAAACCAAAAAAAAACAAAAAAACAAAAAAAACAATTCTCAGAGACTCTTGGCTGGACCCCCTTTTCCTCAAGACTTCCCCAGAATTGTTTTTTTTTTGTTTTTTAGTTTTTTTTGGTTTTCCCAAGGTTTTTTTGGTTTTCTGATTCTTCTGATTTTGGGGGGTCCAAGCAAGAGTCTCTCAGAATGTTTTTTTTGTTTTCTCAAGGTTTTTTGGTTTAGCATCTGAGCTTACTTCTCACCTCAAGGCATCTGTTCTTTTTGCTTACATCTGAAACCGTCTGAGCTCAACACTTCCTTTGCCCTTGTCCAAATCTCCATATACAAGTCTGAGTGCATTAACTGCTGACTGGTATCAATGCGGTTGCCACTTGCATTTCCAAACAGCTTGACATGCAGTTGCGAGGACACTCTGTCCTTTACATGAAACGGTTGGAAATCTTTGCGAGCGTACTTCTGTGCTTGTAGCTCAAGCGTTTACATCTTATTCTGGCGAACTTCTAATTTTAACTTCAATTCCTTTCTAATTCAACTCTCATCTAATGTCAATTAGGCTATAGTTATAGTTCAATACAAGTTTAGTTAAAATTCGGTTTTGATTCAGTTCTATCTTAGCTCTAACTCAAATCCAATTTAATTCTACCTAATTCTATTCTAGCTCTAGTCTATTTAGTTTAAGAGAACACATGCTACAAAACCCCGTGCTTTACAGTATTTTTTGCTGTGGAAGTGCTGGGAACAAGACTAAAACTCTTTTTTGGAGTAAATAGTTAGATTTATTTATTGTCAGTAATCATTGGAGATAATATATACATATTAAACATGTTGTATGTACAAGCTTCTAATTCAAGAGCTTCCCTCTAGATCTCTGGGGATGATCATTTCTACAATAAAACTATATATAAGCTTTCATTTCAAAAGCATTCCCCTGGATCTCTGGAAATGGTCATGTCAATTTAAACATGCTATATATCAATAAATAAGTCTTTCTTTCAAGAGCTTTCCTTTCATGAAAACACATATATACATATATATATATGTGGGATATCTACTTTCCCAGAGATCCTGAGGAAAGCTTTGAAAATGCAAGCTCTTGCCCGCAGAAATCTAGAAGAAAGCTTTTAACATACAAGGTTTCTATATAGTTGTTTAAATCTAAACATGATTATCTGCAGAGATCTATAGGGAATCTTTTATAACATAAAAGCGTCTATATACAATCTTTCCAAATCTAAATATAATTATAAGCAAAGATCTAGAGGACAATTGTTAAAACGACCACTTTTATGGCCTGCTTCTTTTCTAATTATCTTGTTCAAAACCATCTGAATGATTGATTGCTGCTTCCAAAACAATAAAATTACCCTGACTCAGGAATACATAATATTTTTGTTCGTATAGAGTGAGAGCAAGAATAGATATGTTTATATGGAGAGGGGCTGCCACTGAAGCATTTACCTAAAATTTGGGGAAAACCAAAACCCAGGCCCCATGACCACCCGCTCTCTATATATACATATATAACTATATAGTATACTCGTGCGAATAAGCAAGAACAAATGAATCAACTAAAACTTACTAATAATACGTACACTCAATAGAACAAGACTGTTCATAGTTGTTTTTCCAGCCCTCCAATCTGATCCGCCTTGTGAAGGTTTCTTTGGTCTATGTCTATGTCAAACTCTGCGGGGGTTCATGTGCAGCCCTAAAGTTAAGACTAACATGGACTGTGGTAGGCTAATGCCAAGCAACATTTGCCAGAAAAGAGAGGACCAAAAGAAAGTAAAGGGCGCTTTAGCAAGACCTTGTTTTTCAGCTCCTGGCGGACAAGGTGCCCTTGCTCTCCACAATCCTCCGTGAGATCCAGCAAATTGGTGACGTTTGCCATCGACGATACTGCCTGACCACAACTGAGGTACAATTCGTGCCACCTGGTTTCTCCAACAAAGCTCCTTGTAGCGTCCATTGCTCCTACTAGTAGGGCCAGGAGCCCCTAGTAGCGTCCTTGCTCCTAGTAGTAGGGCCAGGAGCCCCTAGTAGCGAAAAGGAACTAAAGTAATCAACTTCAATATCTCAAACATGAGATGATGCGAGACGATTGCCCTTTGCGTTTACAGCCGTAGAATGCGCCGGAAAGTGTGTCATGTTGTCGCAAGACCGAATCGGACCAGTAAACAGCTAGTGCTTGCTGACAAAACGTTGTTTTGTGTGTTGTGAAAGTTCCCAACACTTCGAAGCGTCAAGATAAAACATCGACCAATACGAGCAACGGTCAAATCCTTCTGTACTTACTGCTGAGGTCATTGAGAGAGTGGTATGTTTTTGTTGGGTGGTTTATTGTTTTATATCGTTTTCCAACTAGTGCCCTCTGTTTGCGTCACTGCCGGTCAAGTTGTGCTTGTGGGCTTCCCAATGCTGCCACTACTGAATGAACAACTTACCCCAAACAACTGACGTCCCTCATTTCTTTCTCACTCAGCAGGCTCAGCACTACTCTGCTCATCAAAGCTACAAAGGATTTTTGTTTCAGTGCGCAACCGCGACTCTTCCCTTATTCTCTTGCCCGTTCTCGGTGTTCCGGCTCGGGTAACTGCGGTACTTCTTTGGGGCATTCCTTGCTGGAGTTGTGTCTTGGACACTATGCGTATGGGGGCATCAACAGAAACACACGGTCCCAGAAATCAACAAAACAACATCTACGCAAGATCTACAATAGATATACGATATATGATATAACAATAAACAAAAAGGACAAAAGAGTTTTTTTAGAACAAAAAGGAGCCAACTAAGCAGTAGCGTTCCCTGTGAAATTAGTAACATAAGTAGGAATCAAGATGGAACCAACAAAGAAAAAACGAAGCAGCAGCAGCAGCAGCAGCAGCAAGTAGCAGCAACAGTAGCAAAGCAGTAGAAGTCGTAGTTTTACAGGAGCCCGTGCAGTAGTAGGAGCACGTTGGAGCACGCACGCGTAGGACGGGTAGAAGAAGTCAGAAGTGTTGCTAGTGGTGGTTGTGGCGGTGGTGCTAAATGTTGGCCTTCGTCTGATGTTCGAATGTAGGGTGTGATTGGTCTAACCGTACCACAATGTAGCACCAGCGAACTGTAGCACGTCCATGTGGAACCTCGCAGACCCTGTAACAGCAAAATCAATGCATTGGATGCGGCTATGAGTGCCTATCATCTACAATTTTTGGCATGTAGCACCGGAGGTTATACATGTATGTGCAGGTGTTTGCAAGGAAGCAAAAAAAAGAAGCATTGGACGGAGGGCCCTATTCACCCTCTATCTAAAACGTGAGCAGGTCAAGCTTCCCTAAAAATCTAGAAACCAAAGCATTAGTGCAAGCGCTTCTAGGGCGGCGGGGGGCGGCTTCCTTGAAGAAGCGTGAGCTATCCCGCGTCCTGCTAGTACTAGCTTACTTGTACGTAGGTACTAGCTACCTAGCTAACCTACCTCACCTCTACTAGCGGCCTACCCCCCCAAGAAAATCCGCCGACCCCACACCGTGGGGTGAGGCGTGACTGTCGATGTTAGCCTTAGGCCTTAGCCTTAGCCTTAGTCCTTAGCCTTAGACCTAGTCCTTAGCCTTGGACCTAGACCTAGACCTTACCTCCCCTACCCCTCCGGACCCTTGTTGCAGTTACGAAATCGTGCCCTGAAAGCTACCTGACCGACCCGGGAATTGTCCAAGATTCTGCCATCCCAATTGATTTACATCTTGGGGCACCCTCTCGACCCGCGCGGGAAAATAAGCACGGTCCAAAATGGTCCTGGGCTCGAATCCCGGGCTGGTCGCGGCATGGTCCCGGCCAATGCCCTTGCTTTTTCGTAGATTTTGTCACGTTTTCTGTTGGTTTATGAGATTTTCAAAGGCTTTTCTGGCATTTTCCTAGGAATGCTCTAGGCTTTGTCTTTTTGGGTACCTGCTTTGGTGGTGCTGGGTTGGGTCTAAATTGGTAAACCTGGGAGGTACCCAAAAAGTCGACTTTTTGGGTACCTGCTTTGGTGGTGAAGGGTTGGGTCTAAATTCTTGGGCAATGATCGGGGTTCATGCAAGAGCTGACGTCCGATGGTAAATCTGGGAGGTACCCAAAAAGTCGACTTTTTGGGTACCTGCTTTGGTCGTGCTGGGTTGGGTCTGCACTCTTGAGGCTAAGGCTAAGGCTTAAGGCTAAGGCTAACATAGAGCAAGGCTAGCGCTAAGGTTCTATCCCTTGGGGGTCGGCGGCTGCAGGCGGTAGCCTGGTAAATATACGGCAGGCTATGCATTCAGGCTCAGGTTGTGTTTCGGCTGCTTCAGACACCTCAAGATGCAAGTGTTGATTGTCCGCTCATATCTTTAAACATCCGAAGCTCAACAAATGCGCGTATCATCGCGTATCTATAGACAATACGTGGTCCGGAAGGTCAATGGAGCTTGGCAAAGTGCTGACTAGCAAGTGCAAATGTCTGAGACTGAGAGAACTTGCTCTGGCCTCACCGCTGTTCGGAGAGACTGCCCAGCAACGAATGTCTCCTTCATCGTTGCCTTGGAAAATTTCCAAGGCCACAGCTTCAGTAGTTTGCAGCCCCTCCTGACATCTCCTGACCCAGTTGTTCCCAGACTGCACCGCGTGCAGCCCGTGCGTTCTTGATCTGCTGCTATTGCTCGGTAGGATGTGCAAAGCAGCATGATGAAAAAACATGCAAACACATAATTCAGCTCTACTACATGTGTGCACATTTGTATAGAATAGAATAGCAAAGGGGAGGTGGTATTTGGTGTTGAGGCCCCCCCCCTGTACTCTGAACCAAGCCAGGCATCAAATACAGGAAGCATCCTCAGCTTTGGGTTTGCAGATGTTTGCAGGGTCCAACAGTGTCATTTCTTTCAGTTTGCCAAGTAAGAACGCAAGTGGCTACAAATATCTACAAATCCATTCATGAGGCAATTTTCCCTAGTTAAGTAACCACATGCTTCATGCTAGTCTCTTGTCACCCAAATTCTCAAAAAGCTATTTGCAGTGACTAGGGATCTTTGACATACCAGTTGGCAGTCGATACTTTACCATTGCCATAGCCCATGCCGAGCATCGAATATACTCGAAAGCATGCCTAGCAGCAGGACAAGCGCTGAGCCCATCTGAAAGTTTGAGGGTCAGGCTCTTGCGAACTCAAGTCATGTTTTGGGAACCTATAGTTGGTCCCTAGTCACTCTGCATTCTTCCCTTGCTACACGTGTTGTGAGTTGAGCAGCAGCCTCAAACCAAGGCAAAGGAGACTTTGGGCCCTCCTGTCGTGGGACATTGAGCATGGCCTTGCAAAGAGCAATGCATAGTCTCCATGTACTTCTGCTCCAGGGCCAGCTTGCTAAGCACATTAAAACTCCTGGACCAGCTGGCACCGCCCCACTAGTGTAGTGGAAACGAATTGGCTGCTTTCCAGGCAGCAGCAGAACTTTCCATAACAACTTGAGAACAACGGGGGTGCACGAAGGCTAGGGCCAAAGAATCAACGATGCGTAGCTGTAACGGCTAGCTTAATGTTCTCTCGTCGATGCCCTACTCACAAAGGTGACTTGCCTTTGTAGTAAAAACAACGATGGGGGTGGGTCGGTGATATCGCTGTGTTGGCCTCAGGCCTCCCCTGGCTTGGAGCAAGAACACACGATTGGCTAGCTATCCCGGATATCCCTGGCTGCTGCCTATTTTTTCGTGCCTTATGCAGCCAAGTATCTCAAGTTCAGCTTCATCCACCAATATGTAAACCGTCAATGCACCTGAATGGATATAGCTGGCTCTTCAGATTCCAGAAGCCGGCACTCTGGAGTCGACAAGTCATTTTAAAAGCATAGTTTAGCTCATTTCTTCAAACAATGGTTGGTTTACGACGAATGAGCGGCACTTTACACTTGATCTCCTTGTACATCTGTGTGCTCCAAGAACTCCAGCAAGCAGCTTTGATGGCATCTGCCAAGGAGCCCAAACAATGCATCGTCCCCAGTGCCAGCAAATGAAAAGTGAAGCTACCATGAAACAATAGCCAGCATAGGAGATGCAAGGGGCAAGCCTCGGCCGGCGGCCGATCTGTCATTCTTTTCTGGCCATATTCCGCCCCACGTCACATTCCAATCTTTCAGCAAACGCTAGAATGTCAACTCTGGATAATATACTCACACGCATGATCTTAGCACTTTCAAGGCTATTTCCACCACATGCAGCAATTATATAGAATGTGATGGATCTGGCTGGCAATTCCATTTCGCTCCTCTCTCAGCAACTTTTTCTTCTGGGCACAGTTTAGCCAATCCCTGTCCACTCAAGATGTGCGACTACCTCGAGAGACTTTGCCGTGTGCGGTTGGAGATCAAAGCACTTGATCTCTTCGAGTTTGTATCCACGTGATGTCAGGTAAGCCAAGTCTCGCAGGAGCGCTCGCCCACTGCTGATGTAGACAACCCGAGCCACCTCTAGGTCAAGCAAGTGTCGTCGAAATGGCTTGGGCATGCCATTGCGCCCAGGGTCAACTAAAAGGATTTGAGGTGCTGGCAAGGAGGCAGGAACTTTCTCCTGGAAGGGTGTGTCATGGAAGGGTATGTCAGCTTCTTCCACCTCATCCTCGAAATTCAAGTCGGCCTCATGTGCCTCGTCGGCCTCATCCAACTCTCCTTCGCCATAACAATCATCACTGGATCATCACACCAAACACCTTTTGAAACTCTTCAACTTCAACCACTATAGGGCGAGTACCCATCACATTGGCTGGCGACTTAAGGCACCTAAAGTCTATTAAGTTATAGGCTGAAGCGCCTGGAACAACATCGTTTTAAGTTTAAGATGGGTTTAGGATGAAGTGTCTTCACCTTTTCGTTGCATGCACCTGGTCCTTTTCGATGTTGGTCTGGGAGCGCGGCGGTCAGCCGGTGCAAATACGCAGGAATTCCCAAGTCGCCGTGCAAGACCTCTGCGGAGCTCGCGTGGCCCCACTCGGCCAAATTCTGCTGGAGCTTCTGAAGCGCTGGCAGCGACCGGTCGATGCACACCATCTGAAGGTCCCGATGCATTTGCAAGAAAGCTGAAGTAAAAAGCCCTTGACCGCAGAAGGTGTCCTTGGCTTCAACTGACTCAAAGCAAGTGGTTCTCCATGCGTGTCAAGTCATGTCAGATGGACTCTGGTATATCTAGTAACTTACTTTTGCTGCAAACGTCACATGCTAGCAGCAGGAACAAAGGGGAAAACCAAGGTAACAACACAAGGATTGAACTTCATTACCGAAGTTGTCACATCTGTGTGGTCTCAATGCATGAGGGACCATGTCGAGATACAACTAATCAGTGGACTATAAAACAATAGGGCATCGCACATCTAAACACAATGTTGGGGCGAGGCGGGGCAGCTTGAACGGGGCCGACGAATTCCCTGCTGGTGATCCAAGCAGCCCAGACTACATCGCCAGGTTGAACAGCGCTCATCTCCAAGACCGTTTGAATCAAGGTCTCCGCTAGGAATATGTTCGGCCGGAAGAAAGCTTCGGAGGAGATCTTTAGCTTCATCCCCTCCAGTGTCAACGGAGCGCATGACGGGTGATTTGGCATGTCACACAGGCAAGTCTTTGGGTTGAACACCAAAATCTTTTCAATATGCACAATATTCAATATGCATTCTCGTATCGGGCATTTAGGTTTATAGACCGGTCAATGCAGTGAACAAGTCTCACTGACAGCTTAAGCATGGCGTCTGCCAATGCACACCGACGGGATAGCTTCAAGCCAAGTTGCCACTACATCATGCATCAAATAGGACCTTCCGGCCAGCACTTTGTGACTTTGCTGTCCGACGCTGCGCCAGCCAGGGGATTTCAAGCTTTCCTCACCCTCCGTTGACCATGTCACTCCCACCAGTCGTGGAGCATTTTGCATGGCCACCACTGCTACACGGTTCAAGACTTCACGAGGGGGCTCCCCAACAGTTACCAAGGTGGCCAAAGATTCCACCAGTCCTGCGGCGTGAGCTGAGCGAAGCACCACATGGCGCAACCACCCACGGCCGGTCCGTTCATCAAAGGGTGTGCACTTGGCAGCTCGCAAAGCAGTCAGCAAAGCCTGAAAGGCTTCATGTGCAGCTTCTGGGTGTAAATGACATCGGGACAAAGGGACGGGCACCGGACTGCCTTCTGGATGAAGACCCATCTGCAAGCCATCCCGAAGAAAAACGCGAAACTCCGTGCGCGCATGCCAGCCAAAAGGAGGACTTGGTACTGGTGGATCAACGGGAGCCCTTGGTACTTGGACTTCGTACTCCTTCAATCGCATTTTCAGAAGCTCGAACTTCTCTCGCAATTGAGCCTCGTACTTCCTCGTTTGCAAGAGGTGTTGAGTCACCCAGTCAACCAATGCCCACTTGTGAAATGCAGAGCACACTAGCTTTAGACAAACCATCGACAACATAGCACTATTAATAAGGGACTGAGACAACAAGCGTCAAATTTTGAAAGGAGCAACCACCACATTTCTCTGCAAAGTGCTGGCACCGTGGCGTCACCTCCTCAATTGAAGCAGAGCAGCGCTCATCAATTGCAAGATGAAAATTTGCAATCTCTTTCTTTTTCAAGCGATTCTTGGTCACGTGGGTGACGATCAAGTTGAGTTTCTCTCCCGGCAGTGCACGTGCAAAGCTAAACTCATAGTTTTGTTTGTCCCTGCGCACGTGCAAGTGGATGGTCCCGTGGCCGTTCTCATCAACACCTGCCACTGGCACACCGCGAATCACCTGGTCACGTCCTTTGATGGAATTGATCACGAAGGTCTCTTCATGTACAAAGCCTTGCAAGGCCTCACAGGCTGGCAATTCTGGGGGGCAGGCGTGGCGAGGCCAGGGCTTGATGATACTCACCGGAGATTGCCCAAACCATCGAAAACCCATGAGGTAAGCTGTTTTCAGAAAGGTCACACCTTACCGCCCTTGAACAAACTTTATAATGTTTAAATAAATATATATATATATACAACACTTAAAGGTTTAGAAGGTCATTAGAAAGGATGATTGACTAGTAAGCAGCTTTTCCCTGCTAATGCCCCAAGTAGATCCAAATATATAGTTCCATGCAAATGCGTGGCCACAAAGGGGACAGAACCGCCGTCACTACACCACAACAGTTCTCAACCCTTTTAGCACCGGTACTGCGAGCAACACGTTATTCCGGGTAATTTGCTCCTCTTATGCATCTTTTTGCTTTGTTCATCCTTTCCAGATTTTATCATTCCCAATTTGCATGCCTTGTAAACAATGTGGACATGTGATGCAGGACTATCTGTCTAGAGTCTACAGTTTACTGTTTAATTACTGGTTCAGGTATACAAAACCTAATGCTCTTGTCACAATCCAAGTTCAAACGATACACAAACGCACAGGTGGTGAGGCCCAGTGCGAATGTGAATGAATGGCAATGCGGCGCTGCGAGCGGACTAGCGGAGCTTTGGCTGTTGGCGCTTTGGGCGTGGTGTGGCGCCGTTGGGGGGGGATCTTGTGCAGGGGGTCTCGTGAAGCATCATGGGAGGCAGTTTCTCAAACACGGGTTGGAGAGCCTGAGGTGTGTATATAAGCCCTATAACCCCTACCTCCTGCCCAACCCTAAAGGTGAATTGGTGCGGCAAAAAATACCCTTTCTATACCAGGGATCCCCACCACTCCCGCTGTATAGACCCATCCATAGAAGGTACATCCAGGCACTGGGCCACCGAAGGGGTCTCGTGAAGGAGATCTCGAGGAGGAGGAGGACTGATGAATTGGGGTCTCGCTTCGCATCCCCGATCGTATTTTCCTCCCCGCGAAATGCACGCACGGGCGCAACACAAACATATGCCATATGCAAATTAAGATTCAAACGTGCCCGCGCACACACACACAATGCCATGAAGGATTTCGGCTAGCAGCTGTTGCAAAAGATCGCTGCCCCAATGTCCTCCAGCAAACAAGCTTCTGTGACATTTGGCGGAGCAACCACATTGAACCAGCCCACCATGCTGCAGCAAGGAGAGGTGGCCCCAGTTTCAAGAAGTGCTTTAAATGCAAGCTGGGCTTCAGCTCCAAGGACTTCTTCAAACCATGAGGTGCTATTGACGCATTTGTCTGCACATTTTTCAAGTGGGACAGCTTGCTAGCGTTTGCTAACTGTCTACGTTCAAAGGATCTGGTGAGACCATGGCCAAAGAACATATATGACCCTTCTTCCTGTGTTGCATGTTGTTGAGCATGGCCCTTTGACGTTCTGCCGTGGTTGTGTCACTCATGTTCCTTTGATCTTGCGAAGGCATGCAAGGTCACTCATGGGTCCAGGCCATATGGACAAATCACGTTGTGCTCATTGTGGTAATGCCTCCAAGTAGCAAGTCCAATGAACTGGCCTGCATGCAGTGGCGAGACTCATCGCATGCTAAATTACCAATAGGGCACCCACCCTCTTTCTGTAAGTATGCAACAGCCGTGCACGCAAACCTCCCCAAACCACTGGCGAACCGGCCTGAATGCTCTCCAAGATCCCTTCGTGCTTCACATGGGGTGTTGAGAAATGCAAAGGACATTGAACAACTGAAGCTAATCCGGGGAGGACCCACAATAAAAACACATATAATACTATATAATATATTGTAATACGTTTAATGTATACATAAGAAAACATGCAATATGACAATACGCACAGCAATTAGCAGAGTACAATGCAGACAAACAAAGTTGCAGAAAGCACGTTGACATGCAATGACGAGACTAGACCAGGTATGCGTTGCTAACCAGCATTGGCCCTCCCATAGTCCTAGCTGGAGGTGCAAAAATGACAAGCTCAACCCTACGTACCAGCAGCATCCCTTCCTCGGGCTTTCTCGAGCTGCCTGGCGGCACGTAGCCGATGGTACTGAAGATCAGGAAGCAGGGAATCGCGGTGCTCATGAAAAAGTGTTGCTTTGCAAGCTCCTCAGGTTGGATTCGCAGCTAGGCACCTTGCGACCTGGTAAAGCATGGTAAAGCTATATACACCAAACAAGTCCATCCCATGAATAAGAGATTGAAATAGATAATCTTGCCAAAAATCGATGGTACGCACAATGACACAAGTGTCGCACCTATTCAAAGAATGAGGTGGTGACACATGTCACGCGTGGCACACACAAAGTGGCACAAACATTGTATCGAAGGCACCGTGTCCATCTGCAAGGCACTAACCATCAGTACAAACTCTTGCACGGCGAGGAGTACCAGCTGCACACGACCGCTGAACCTCGTTTGCACCGACTTGCTGGGCCATCGCTACTAGGTGGAGGCCATCGCAAGTAGGTTGGAGGCTCATCCGAAAGGCGCCACACGATCACTCGCCCTGGGCGCCCCACGAAGGAGCCACGGACATCGTCCGCCCCAATGATCCGAAGAAAAAACTCTGGGCCAATAGGGCACCTCAGTGGGCTGCTTGGCCCCGAGTCGTTATGAAAAGGTTGAATAGAATATGAAAAGGTTTGAAAGTACCTTAGCATCCTTTGCTCATATCTTTTTCCTCTTTGTTGCATTCAACCTATGTATGTATATGAATATTTATATGTATATGTATATGTATGTAATGTACTATGGCGGACTGACAGTTAGAATACGTTTTTTTTGTTTATATGCAGTTAGAATGTGGTTTTACATAAAGCCTGGGGGGAGGCTGGAGACCACATGCAGTTAGAATATAAAGACATCGCTCTTAGGTTGGAGGCCATCGCTCTTAGGTTGGAGGCCATTGCTCTTAGGCTGGAGGCCATTGCATTGCTATTAGGTTGGAGGCCATCGCTCTTAAGTTGGAGACCATCGTTCTTAGGTTGGAGGCCATCGCTCTTAGGGTGGAGGCAGTTGCCATTGCTATTAGGTTGGAGGCCATCTCTCTTAAGTTGGAGGCTATTACTGCCATCGGTCTTAAGCTGGGCCATCGGTCAAAAGCTGGAGGCCATCGCTCGCCATCGCTATTAGGGGGCCATCGCTATTAGGTTTGGAGGCCTAGCTTTGTCTCTGCAAGGTATCCTGGTTTTGGACTGGCAGTTCGAATATGTTGGAGGCCATCGCTCTTAGGTTGGAGGCCATTGCTCTTAGGCTGGAGGCCATTGCATTGCTATTAGGTTGGAGGCCATCGCTCTTAAGTTGGAGACCATCGTTCTTAGGTTGGAGGCCATCGCTCTTAGGGTGGAGGCAGTTGCCATTGCTATTAGGTTGGAGGCCATCTCTCTTAAGTTGGAGGCTATTACTGCCATCGGTCTTAAGCTGGGCCATCGGTCAAAAGCTGGAGGCCATCGCTCGCCATCGCTATTAGGGGGGCCATCGCTATTAGGTTTGGAGGCCTAGCTTTGTCTCTGCAAGGTATCCTGGTTTTGGACTGGCAGTTAGAATATGTTTCCCTGCTTTCTGAAAGGTCCATATTCTATCTGCGAGGGTCATCCCCAGGGTCATCGATGTTGAAAGGATTGGGGTATCCATTTAAATCGGAAATATTTGGATTCCATATTCTAACTGTCTGTCCTACATTGTAATGTAATGTGATGTGATGTGATGTAATGTAATGTATGCATGCATAGGGCCATCCAAGAAGTCACCTGGCAGGACTACTTCACTGGACCTTCATTGGGCACCTTAGGTCGTCCTGGGAATTCCTGGCATCAGTGTTTGTCTTGAGCGAAGCTGGGTAAAAATTCGCAGCTCCCACACCTCTTTTTTTTCCGCCTTCATTCATCGGACATATTTTTGTCAGACTGTTACTTGCCTCTGAAAGCCAAGCCACTACACGTCGTGAGAAGTCCTGAGTTACAGCCGTCTTGACATATATCGCCATTATATTGCTAAAACACAAAGTCGAACGTGCATATATAAACATCCCTACGTAGTATTTGCATGTATTGGCGAAACGTTGCTTGCTGTGGTAACATCTACTGGCATGCACTGAGACTAGTTTGTGCTTTTGAATGGCATAGGGGTTGTGTCAGATGAGACTTTGTTTCCCAACCGCTGCGATCACCATTAACTAGACTCACTAGTCTATGGCAAAAACTAGAGTGATAAGCACTAGTAGAACAAGAGTAGCAAAGCAACTAGGGTAGTTGGAATGAGTAAAATCCTCTAGACCAACCAAGCAAAATACTCAGCCTGAAACCCTCCTTGTCTCTCAATCCCGAAGATCCTGTTGGGCCAGTTGGCAACCACCCAACAGCAACACAGCAAAACTGTTGACAAGATGCCTGTCAACGAGATGTGCCCCTCCCACCAATGCAGGCTCATTGTTGCGGCGCCTGCACCACTACACTCGCATCATTGTGATATTCTGGGCTTGTGAGTTGACTGAGTCAAATTGAATTCCATCTTTCGCAAGTCTGTCCGACTTCTTCATCAGCGGCGCCTAAAATGCCCGCAGCCGGCAATGTGTAGAGAAGCCTTTGTGTTGCCCTCTCCAGGCGCCAAGTGCAGTACTCCTCCAACCACGGAAGTCGTAGCTGTTTGGTCTTGCACAACTTGACTATTGAGCTAAAGGGAATTCCATGCTTCCCTACCCATATTGGCAATTACAGTATATATATATTATATATCATTTATGTGTCTCTCAGTTGCATTTAGAGCATTTTAGAGCATGTTGCATCACTCTATAGGCTCTAAAATAACTGCCCATAGTGAGTCCACATCTGCTCACACATTGCACAAATCTGGTGAAATCTCAGAGCCCACACCTCTGTAGCGTGGAAACGCCGGAAAAGCTTTGATCTCCTCCCTAGCCACCATCGCCAATTCGCCTGGCCATAGCTTCAAAAGCAATGTTGCCATTGCCATGCCAAACTTTGCCGGTTCTGTGCTAAGACATGCAACGGTGTCGTGTGCTCATGCTTGACGATTGAACTTCAGAAATCTAATTATTCACTCCAATGTGGGAGCTCAGCACGACAAAACACATTGGCTGACATAGGATCGTGCATTTTTATGTCAACTTAGAAACCTTGCAGGAACCCCACCAGCATTGTCAGCAACTGTGCGAAGCTGTCTTGCGTTTAGACTTGGCTAGAAAAAAATCCACCTTGCTCTCCATCTAGGTGCCCGTGTTGCGACGGCTCCGCCGATTGCACCACAGCAATGCTCGCGACGTGTTGCCCACTCACACTTGCAAAGTTGTAAACATGTTGTTGTTCAAATTCTTTGCCTGATGCTCGGCAAACAAATTGGCAGGTTCTGATGGCCACAAACAAGTTGTGGAGAAATGCGGCCTGCTCAGGAAAAAGGTCGACTAAGCGACTATGGTGTTCATTCACTTTACGCACAAACCTCTTTTGATTCAGCTTGTCGCATGCTGAGCCCTTTCTGCAGCACACCAGTAAAAGCTTTTCCGTTAAGTCTGCTGCAGTCAAAGACATGCGCAAAGTATGACATTGTACTTTCCGGTCTCTTCAGTGTGTTTGAAAGCTGTAGTTCAAGTCCGAGTCCGGGACAATGAATTAAGTTTAGACTCTTTTTTTTGGGGGGGTATATAGTAGTAGGGTAGGTAGGTAGTAGCTAGGTAAGTAACTAGTGGGGAGAGGTAGCTAGTAGCTTAAGTAGCTACTAGCATGGACGCTGGATAGCTCACACACTATCCATTTAGTTCCTAGATTTTTAGGGAAACTTAAGTCCAATCGTCTGGGACGGTCATAAGTCAAAGTCTTTGATAAACGGCCCTCCGAGGCAACCGCCGAGAGCATCGGACTGCGCCTACGACATGTGAAAGAAGCAACAACAATGTGGCCACCAAACGTGCAAGCGCAAAATATGCTTGACGTTGAGCAATCTGAAACTCTTGTATGTCTTATAGGTTAATCAATGCATTCCGCGTTCAAACAAACTAACTATATATATATGTACTTATATATGTATAGAATTGGGCCAATGTTGCAGTTTCAACATGTTCAACTTGAGGCCAGGAGCAGCAGTAAACTAAAAGATCAGATGTGCTTCAACGGAACACAACGGTTTCAAACAGCGACAGCAAGGCAACAAAGATTGAGCCCCATCTCCAGTTGCCACCCCAAACAGCAATTTTAACGGGCCGGCCCATCGAGAAGAGAAACAATGAAATACTAACATAATTCTAGTTAAAAGTCCAACCAATATCGATCTAAACCCAAATCCCTGTGTTGGAGCTTCAAAAGTTCGGCAGTCTCTTTTGTGCAATGTCACTGCTGTACACTGAACACAATTCGCGCAGTGCTTTTGCAGGAAAAGCCCAGCGCCGGTGGCCACCACGACAGCTAGCTGTAGAACAGTGTGCAAGACTGTCATGGACTTGCTGCTTGCTAGTGTCTGATTTCTGATTTCTCCATATTTCTCCCTCTTCTATGCAGCACTGACGTGGATTCGACCTGTGACACACACACCATCGCCGCCGGTTGCCGCATGGCCTAGGTGGTCCGGGTCCGGAGCTCCCAACGACTCGAACGACCGTTGTCATCACCGCATCTATCTGCATCCTAGGCCAGGCAGGTCAAGCTCTGACAAGCCATCTCGCAAGGCAGGGCGACTTTGGCCAATGCTCCGCGGTCAGCTACAGCGCTGAGCCATGAGCTGGTCGCGAGGCATGTGTGTCGCACTGATCGCTATGAGGCCATTACCAAGCAATAAAGCCGAGATGACCGCAAATTGATCTGAAGAAGCATGCAGTCAAACAAGGTAAGACCAAAGCAATTGCAATCCCACAAACCTCATGTCGGCAAAAGTCCTCTAGGAGCCCAGTATTCGAGCGTTGGATTACTGATCCACATCTGACAGACTTCATTTTTGGAATGGCTGCGTGCGCAACCTTGTGGTCGCTTTTAAGAGCTCGCATCCAGGGTGGTCCTGGTCCTTCTTCGATGGATCAAGGACACCCACTGGACAACATGATCGAAGGTCAAAAACATAACAGCGATGACATCATGGTACTCTCCAAGGTCTACCTGCAAATAGATCCAAAACGTGTCTTAGCTGGATTTGATGTGCAACATGCTCCTCGACTGCTCCGCAAAATTCACCAGTTTCTGGCACAGTATTTGGCGGAAGCAAAATGTGGAGCAACTGTCAACCGCTTCCACTAGCTGCCAGCTTGGGAGGTCATTCCGTCTTTTAGACGGCGCTCTTCGGACTCGGTGGCCTTCATGTCCTCGAGGCACAGGACACCAGCTAGGATGGCCAGCACCGGGTGTCCACCTTCTTTTTCTTCCTTCCTGTCGTTAGTATTTGCCATTACTAAAGACTGTTTGAGGCACATGTTGAGCCAGAAAGCACACACACACATATGGATATATATATAATGTATAGCATGTAATCAAACATAAGTGTGTACCAATGATTATATAGTCGACGCATTCTCGTGATGTCACCAAGATTCATAAAGTACAAACATATATAATATATATATATATATGTTATATATATATATATCAAAGCATGAAATCAAAACGGCCAGAAACCTGAAGGGACCACAACCGCTCAGGCGCGATAGACGTCGCAACGAAGTGGACCAAGGAGCCCAGTCCACGCGGTAGAGGATGATGGCAAGGGCACAAGTTGCCAAGCCGGTGCCAACAACCATCGACCACCACATGCCATACACATCCATTTTGAGCGGCCTAGGGTAACTACACTCATCTCTGAGCCGTAACAGTGGTGATTTCACCACTATTGCTCACCTATGCTACAATGATCTCGCAGCTTCGCTCTGTGCTGCTCCTGTGCAAAGCTTCTGCTGTAAACGCAAAGGCGGAGAATGCCTCCAGTCATCCGAGTGCTGCCTGGCTACCACACCATGTAGCAGCCCAATGGAAGCATGATCAAGTAGTAGCCTTGCTTGTTTATCAACAAGTTCTGGCAACATAAACATAGGCACTTCCACCCCGCTACATTTACTGTATGTCCAGCTATTAGTTGGCCAACCTTTTCTACTAGAATTCTATGGGGACGGAAAACTAATTAGGCTGCCCAATGTGCATGCTTTGGGGTTTAGTACTGCTTTGCCCTCCTGAAGTATGCTCCCCTTTTCAATACATGCACTCAATATAAAGGCACGCAAACTTGTACATAAGTGGACAGTGGAAATACCATAATATGTCATACTGATGCCGCAGCAGGGAGTGACATCATAGACTTGAAGTCCAGGAGCAAACCAAATAAACTGCGGCAGGCAATTTATTGATGCCGACTCCACGCAAGGCGCCACCAATGACGTTCTGGATGTTGTCGAAATACCCGGCCACACAGTAGATCTTGATGAGTTGCACCTATAGGTGTGACCAGTATAATCACAAATGACCAATCTAAACATATTGTACAGTATCTAAACTGCCACTATTGTGTGGCCAGTCAGTTCTTGAATCTAGAATCCGAAGTGAAAGTTCACTGTTCGCACAGTCCTTTGTTACGGGACCACTGGTATCCCAAATGTCCTAGCAGCAATTGCAGTGGCTGAACTTTACACTCCAAACTGTGGATTGAAAAGGGCCACTCTTGTAATATATGCTACAGTCTAGTAGTCTAGTTGTGGAACTCAACTTCGCACAAAAAACTAGAACAGCAACCATGCTCCAGCATCTTGAAGTGCTGAGCACCGAAATTTGACTCAACGCGTGTTGAGCACCGAAGCAACATCCTGCTGCCGAAGGGCTGTGATAGCTTGCACATCTGGGTCAGCCGTGAGGAGTACCACAACGTACTTGACACCCGTCAAAAGAATGATCGCTAGAACCGTCCACCTCAGCGAGCAAACACTCTGTGGACCCCATAATGAATTGAGGGATTTTAAGGGAAATAAGTGCCACGCTACTAGTAACAAGTGCCTTACTAGTAGTAACAAGAAGCTATTAGAAACAAGTGCCACGCTACTAGTAACAAGTGCCTTACTAGTAGTAACAAGAGGCACCTGTAGGTCTGTTGGGTGAGGAGGGGTGAGATGTTTCGTCATACGTTCAGGTGCAGCCACTAGTAACAAAGTCAAGTGCAACACTCCCAGCAAAAGCATGCGCTTGGGATTCCAAATGGCGCCTTTGTTGTTCACGTGCTACGGACTCTAAGATTGCTGATTGAAAGGCGAAGGAAAACGACGGATTGATTTTGAAACAACGGATTACCAATGAGTGTGAGAGAAGTCTCCAATACCTCCAATACATAGTCGTTCGTTCGGTTGGACGCTAGGTGCTAGAAAGCCACAGGAGAAAATCCATGCCAGTGGCTGTCCAAGCAGCCTGACGGCTCCTAAGTCTTCTGACACTGAGTATGTTTGATAATGCTGACAATGCTCCTTACAATAAGCTGAGCTGGTGATCTTCCATGGCCAATGTCAGCGGTAAGAAAAGTAGAAAGTATATGAATGTATAGACCCTTAGGGTTAATTACGGCTCGGGACTTTTGCTGGTAAAGGCTCTTTTTCGGGCGCATTTCACCGATGCTGTTTCCGACCTCAGTTTGACAAACTCAAGCACATCTGCAATGGAGAAGTCTACTGAAAAAAACATGATGTTGGAATCACGTGAATCCATATTTCAAATGGAGCTCAAAAAGTGAGGTCCAAGCGTGTTAATTCATCTACTGTGGCTGCATACGTCCATACACAGGTAATGACCCTCCACACATTTCCGAAATCCCTTCCCCGTTGCGCTGCTTCCATGACACCCAGTCTTGCATGGCAAGTCACAACTGTTGAAGCTGCATTGGACAGCGCCCTAAGCTGATAAATTCTTGACTTGTTGCTATTTAATACCTTTGCAGTACATCCATGAACAGGCATCGACATCAAGCTGACAATCACTTGTTGTTTTACTTGTGTTTCAAGCAAGAGTCTCCTCAAGAGCCCGGAGCCCTAGTTCTATTCCATGCTGTTCAACCGTCTTAAGCGGCAGCCGGCAGCAGCACCAAAATTATAAGTGTACACATACGGTTGAGATAATACAGCAGCACAATATAGCACAATAAGTGAAAAGCAATGAGAAAACAGTTCGCGGAGGACATAATTGCACCCTACTCTACACACTGTCTTTAGTTGCCGCCGTCGATGTTGCAAAGCAGCTGGTCAGCAAGCCCGTTCAAGCAAGCCACACAGTGGGCATGAAAAGCAAGGCCACCAAATTGATTGTTGTAACATGCCCAGCCAAAGGCGTAGGTCCCAAGAAGCCGATGATCAAGGCGCAAATCTCCCAAAACCACCTGAGAGATTTAACATACTGAGAAAACATACAGCCTGAAAAACTTTGCTAAGGGACAGTTCTCGCAATCCATCTTATTGAGTAGTACGGTACAACATCTCTAACTACGAGTAATGTGTACATCGAAATGTAGATATACACAGTATAAACTATATATAGACGATGGGACCGCATCACGATTCTACTAGCAGCTAAGGTTGCCAACTAAGCGGCCATTCACCACACATCTGCAGCGTGCCAGGGATACCAATCGCAAGAAACGTCCTCCATCCTTGAAAGCCTTCCTGCCATGAAGCATGAGTGGCTCGGCTCGAATGCAACATTCTGATTCACAACCAGCCCGAAGAGTGTCCGTCAACCACGACAGACCCTTGGTTGATAAACAACCCTTGAAGAGTGCTTATTATTATGCAAAGCACAGGGTCCGCGGGGAGCAGCCCAAGGTGGCTCACACAGCGTTTGTTAAAGGCGCTTTCGACGATTTTAAGCCTGGCCGCGTTTCTCAAGAGGATCTGTATGGAAACACCCCGATCCCAATGAGCCACTGAGCCAGGTTCCAATCCAGCTGACAAAATCCCGAAAATTCTCGGCACTATTATTTTTCTTGCTCCATCTGAGCAGAAGTTGTCAACTTATGTCACCTTCACCAGGAAGGTCCACATCACACTCACCCTCATGAGCCATGGTAGTTACACCCACCTGAGCTACACTGGCTTGACTTGGGCAGCACAAGAGCCAAAGCCTCCGCAGTCTTTTAGTGGTGGTGGTGGTGGTGGTGGTGTGGGTTTGACTTGGGTTTTTTGGTCTTACCTTTTGGAATTCTATTGAGTTTCCTGTAGGTTTTCTATGGGCCTGATGATTTCCCACACCAACCCATCAAAACCCCAACCAAACCCCAGACCACCCCAACCAAATGCCAATCAAATCCCGAAAATGGGCTGATGACAAACAATAGGAACCCTATTGAATCCCACCTCATCCCAGCAAAACCCCAACCATATCCAAAAAAATTGGCTGAGGTCAAACATAAAATCCAATTCAGCCGACCATGTCAACCCTACACAAATCCCACAAAAACTGTATGGGATTCCATCAGCGTATTTAAAATAACTTTAAGCTTTTCCAGGGTTTTATACTGTTTTAGTAGGATTTTTGTCGGGCAATTTTTATGTCAAGAAAACCTCTAACAAGAACACCCTACAAGCCACCTTACGTCTATTTTGAGATTTGACTCGTGAACACACGATATCTCATGTCAAGAAAACCTCTAACAAGAACACCCTACAAGCCACCTTACGTCTATTTTGAGATTTGACTCGTGAACACACGATATCTCAGTCTCGCCTTCTGAACTCCAAGCAATTTCCAAGCGTTGCCACCCAAGCTGGAGGACTTGCAAACGAGAACCACTGCGCCTGACAGCATCTGATTGAAGCTCATTGAGTAGCCATTCTGTGACATGAGATGCAGTGACCGCAATCCTATACTTGTAGACTTGCTACGAGTTGTTCACAATTAATTGCATACCATCACATATGGCCCGGCTTTAGCAGTCAAGTTACGTTGTGTTTACATTCTGCTGGATGATGGGTGATCAAATGTGCCCAGTGCTAGCATGTGCCCAGCGATTTGCACATATTCCCACTACAAACAGCTCCGAATCATGCTGAGCTTGGAGAGACACAATTTACCAAAGCCAGCCCCGAACCAAATGGTCGCGCTTGTTATTTCGCTCAGTGTGGGCCGCTCATGTTATGAAATCTACCACTGCCCTGCTTAAACTTAAATGTTGACCAATTCATGATATTGTGGCTACTTCAAAGTATATATGTAGTACAAAGATGTACAAAGTACAGTACGTATACATTTCTCGCCGCGATATGTCTGTTGCGATGTTGCTTTGCTTTATGCTTGGGGTACTCAATGCTCAAGCAAGGGTGCAAATAACTATACGTGACACTGATAATCGGAAAATGTCAGAAACGTGTTCGTAAGTTTTTACGACGTGGCATGACCATCCACTGTGCCGCCTATGACATCCAAAAACCTCTCAGCTCCAGGTGGTTTGTGCCGCCTGAGAGGCACTGCAAAGTCCAAGTGGTGAAGTTTGCCAGTCCGGCACCTTCATTCCCTAAGTCGCAGACCACGATGAACAAGACGGCCCATGCGATGTGCAAAGTACCTGCAGTCTCCACAGCAAACCCAAAAAAGTGCAGCCAATCAATGGGAGCTGAACTGCCAGTTTTTTCTGCAGAAACTACATTCCTCACACCTGAAGTGTGCAAACACGTCGTCGGCATAATAAAAATGTATTGCATGGGTTCTTTATGATTCATAAATTCAATTTTATGAATTATCTGATGAATATGATATCTTGTCTACTATCTTGTCTGACATGTTGCGTCATTTTACAGTGCAAAGTTTGTTGAGGCAAGGTACTAGTCACACCAGCGATCCATGCGGCCGCATTGGGCATGTTCTTGTTCCGCATGAAGCTCAGTGTGTTCCTAATATGGAACAATTCGCCCATGTCCGCTGCGACTGATTCTGAGATTCTGCGTTGAAATGTACGAAAGCCGGCAATCAAGTCTCTGGTGCTGGAAAAGGAAAAACAAGCCAAAGGCGGCAGCCCGATTGTATGAGCACGCATGCCTTGCAACATCCTTGTGCTGCCCAACAGCCTCTGGCACAAATCACAAATGTCACAAGCACATCGCCTATGGACCTATGGCTACTTCAGCAATCACATCAAACTGACTGCTTGACCCGATGAGGATTGCAGAATGATAACAGGGTACATCGCATCACAGCCTACAAACTTTCTGCAGATAGTTCTCCGTGTCTGCCTGTATGTTTCTGGAGCTGAGCTGCTATCAGCAAATCCTCACTAAACCAAAGTATTGGGAACATCCACAGAAGCTGCAGAGTGAGGATCACCCTGGCCGGCAGCAACCACAAAAACAAGCAAATCATGTCTGGAAGAACCCGGGGCCAGGAGACTCTTTGATCATCAGTCAAACTTACTTTGTCACGTTGGCGTCTGTGAATTGTGCTCAGGAATCCTGCATGCAACCCTGTCTCTTGTTCGCATTTCATGGCAACCATGCATGCTTCAACTATGTTGTATGGTGCGGGCCGAAGTCACAAGCAAACATCAACATGTGCGCTGCATGTGGAATCGGGAGGCTCCTGCTTCGTTGCAAGTAGTGTATGCCTTGGCATGGGATGACAAAGCTTCACGGTAAACATTCATGGGCCTTCACACATTTTGCAGCAACCGAAAATAGGCAAATTTAAGTCCTCCCGAATGAACACAATTATATACATACATTATATTTATTATCATAATAATAGTATAATATATATTTACAAAGTAATATATTATAGTATATCTTGCTTGAGCATTGTTGAGCATTGCAGGAAAACTGTTGTCACTGCTAACCTGGATCCAGGTGTCATAGGTTGTGTTCTCCTGCTCCATGAGCTTGACTCACGAGCGTATCCAAGGCTGTGCTGAGGCCAAACGCAATGCTGAGACCAAAGCAATTCCTGGGCAATGTGTAGCTGACAAGTCTCAATACACATTTAGGGTGTCTCTTTGATTGATGGTCCTCTTGGATATTGTGCCCAAGATGGAAACACGAGCAGCTCAGCAACTACAGTAATTTGGCTGACTGGAGACATTCAAATTCGGACATTAATGCGGTGGGAGCCCCTAGTAGCGTCCTTGCTCCTAGTAGTACGGCCAGGAGGGTACATGACCGCTGGCGGCTGCATCTAGGGTTTAGGTCTTCGCTGCATTACCTGCATTATTTGGAGGGAGGGGCAAGCATGTGCAGCGCTTGCTGCTGTACAAACACTTTTCGTGTCTTTTCTTGTCCCATCTTTCTTCTGTCATGATGTTGGGACGTGCTCCCACTTTGGCTCCTTACTGAGGCCCTGTTGAGGCCAATCCATGTGGACTCATGACTCCAAACCTTTCTACTTTTCCATAGAGATCTAGATAGGCAAATGTGGTCCAGCTGCGTGCACTAGTCTAGTGGGATCAATGGTCTTGTGTTTGTTTTTCGAGTACTTACCTGTGGGAGTGGCTTTGATAGTCCTTGCCTAGTGTTTGGTCCATTGTGGAGCTGGGTTGTCTTGGTCTAGTCTCCGTTGCCCACGAACATGCTGAAGTTGAGGAGCATTTGGTACCCTTCAAGCTGGCGGTCTCCGTAGCTATACATCGTTGAGGATTGTTTCTAGGGCACCGCCATCTGCAAGCACATTTTCCACAGCCACAAATTGTCGTCTATCCAGGTTTACAGGGGTTTACAGGTTTAAGGGTGGCTCCAAACCGCCGCCAGCCGGGTGGAGAAACTACGGCTGGCAGCTGTTGCCCATGCGCGGCTTCCGGCCAAAGATTCCAAAGATCTACAGTACTGAATCTAATGAAGCCCATCTTTTGGTTTCGTAGCAGGCAAATAATTGGTTCATGGGTGTCACCACTGGCTATGTGGTTTCAGGATTCTCCGACAAATGCCTAGGCACTGCATCATGTTTCCCAAGCCAACCGCCGCCAACTCTGCATCATTCCCCACGTGGCCGAGACAAACGGTGTTTGTAAACTCATTGAGCCTCAGGCACCAAGCAGGTGAAGCAAGCTTCTTTTGGTACTACAGAAGCGAAAACCTAGCCAACAATATCAGCATATACCAGCTGACATCCCTGGAATGGCATGCTTAGACAGCCGCGGGTATGCTTCATACTTCCGGTACAAGCGGCAGCGTTAAGAAGTTGGAGAACATCCTTAGTCAACGGGTGAGACCTCAAGTGACACAAAAGAAACGACGGGCAGCATTCCGCCCAAGACCTTTCGTCTGGGTTCTATACAAGTGACTAAACAAGAGATGTCGAGGCTGAGCCTCCTACTGATGACATCTAATGAATCTAATGACAATTGCTCCAACGTGAGGATTGACACCCAGTTCTGAACAAGTCTTGAACATGTTGTCAACTTCGAACAGCTGGAATTGGAACCTAACCTGCCTAATCAATCGAATATCTGCAGTAGGATGCAGCTGCTTGCTGTTGCGGATTTTAAGGAGTATGAGTATCATGTAGCATCATACATCGACAACTACAGCATCACATCTGAACTAAGCTACGTAGGCAAGGCGATCTTCATCAGTTCCAGTGCTGTCTGCCGAACCCGAGGCAAGGCCTCCCCATTGAATGGCTCCCGAGCATTGGACGCGCCAGTTGAAAAGGCATCAACCGACATTGTGGCGCGGCCCCTTTCAATCCGAGAAGCTCCTAAGCAATGATGTCCAAGCCCAAAGCGGCCGCGGGAGACCATGGATGATGAATGATGCTTTCCAAACCAAGCCACTAGAAAAATGTGTATGCTAAAGCAAAGCAGGACAAGAACCACAAGCACTGGCTGGAGCCAATTAGTTTGCCCAAACCAAGCACGGCCTTTGGTGATTTCTTGTTCTTCTTCTTGCGGCTTCCCTGGTTTGTCGAAACAGTCAGAAACTAAAAGAAGGTTTATCACTTCCGGTCCTTCGACATGCTTCCGTCAATCAAGCCATCTGGTTGAATACCAGCAAAGCTTGACCCGGCTTAAACTCAAACTCAATTAGCCTGTGTCAAAGTGCCACACTCATGAAGTCATGAAGTTCAGGAAGGGTGAAGCATCTCCGTTGTCCCCACAGTGATAACTTTGCTCCTTGTGTCAACGCTTAAGCATGTTTTAACTTTCTGCTCCTGTCTTTCTGCTCATGTATGGCTCGGAGGGCTTCCATAGGCAGCTCTAGAAGTTGACCCGTCTCAGAAAAAGACGGAGAACATCTTGCATATGATATCACATAATTATGTATAATATACATATATATATATAATATGTTCATATTATATATACACTTGTTTTTTCAACCTTTTCCTTGGTTGGCGAAGGCGGTGAGCTCATCCAGTCTCCCGAACCCTTCCCGACCACCTGTGACTTGGGTGTTTCTGACTGAGGTTCCTTGGTCCATGTCAGTCGGAGTGCAAGTTGAGGTGCGTTGGAACGGTGCAGCATTTAGCAACTTAATGCGTTCTTTCGTTTCCTTGGCTTCCTGAACATGAAGTTTGCTAGTAGCTTCTTGCTCCTAGCAGTAAGGCCAGGAGCCCCTAGTAGCGTCCTTGCTCCTAGTAGCGATGCCCTTAAGCACGGTGCAGCGTCTGCAGCATTTTGCAGCTGCTTTTCACTGCCAGTGCAGTGCAGATTGCTGTTCAAAGAGCGTATCATTAGCCGTTTTTGCAAGTGCCCGACATTCAATGGCTCCAGTCTGGCCTTGGCAAGCAGGCTTTGAAGGAAGTGACTTGTCTATCAGGACTGACCACGGAAGGGGTATGATGGGTTCGCGCGGATGTTTTGGAACTCCCTCACTGTATCACAGCTTGGTGCACTGCCCAAGATGAAGCCGTTCCTCCATGCCAAGTCTTGGCCTCGTTTGTCTGGCAGTTGGCATCAATCATGAGTCTTGACAATTATGCCTCACAGCAGGAAAGCTTGGCTGCCTTGGAGACAATTTCATTCACTCTTTTTTTTGGCATCCACTCTGGCTATTGGGTGACTGGGATGCTTTCATTCAACCTTCCCAGAAAATTGGTGCACCTCCCATGGCTTTCATTGATTGATCAAAAAAGCAACGAGTGCCTTGTTTCAAGTTTCAATTTCAAGACTTCAAAAACGACATTAAAAAACACAATGTACCTCAAACATCGAATCCAATACCGAACTTAGCCCGCGACCATATCTGGGGCAGAGGCACTGTGATCTTAGTTGGCAAGAATCTCTCAACGCACTCCTCCTCAACCCCATCATCTTCATGTATTAGCATGTATTAGCTAGCTTTCTGGAGGATAGCCCAAAGTGTTGTCAAATTTAAGCATATAGCCCGTGCTTGTTACTTGCTCCAAGGCCAACACCGAAGTGACAAGTGACATATATTAATCTCAAATGCCAAACAGGTTTCAAGGGTCTTCCAAATTGTTGGACACACCAAGTAAACACAAGCTGTGTCTAGGTGCCCACTTCTTAGCAACCTGATTTGGATTTCTGGGCACCCAACTCAGCACACGGGGTGCAGCTCCTCAGCAATGATTCCGCGAATACCCAACAGGAGAATGACAACATTTCATCAACGTATATCAATATGTTCCACCGACACATGTTGACCTACTGGAATCGTGATGAATCGTGTAGGACTAGACCTTTATCAGTCAAACCAACTCCCAAAAACTTTAATGTCGCTTGGTTTCATCTAGCTCATTTGGTGCATTCCTGGAAGCCCGTCTTTCGATGCCTGAACCGATGCCCCTCTTTATCGCATCCTGCAGATCTGAGCTGCCGACCTGACTTTTTTCACCTGCAAACATCGCACCAAGCGGGTGCATCGAACGAATTCGCGGAGACAGTAGCAAGTTCTTCTGCCGCAACTAGCTAAAATCTCGTCCAGCCTCCGGTGTCGTGGCCGACCTGGACAAACGCAGCGTTTATGTCAAAGAAACAATTCATAAAGGCTCTAGTCGAGGACAAATCACACGGAATACTTAAACTAAGCTACAACAATTGGTCTTCTAAGCCCCTTGCACCACTTTTCCTAGTACGGTTTCAGTGTTCACGACCGAGCCTACTGTTTGCGAAGGCTTCACAAGTCACATGCTCTGCAGCGGAATTCTTGCAATCCCCAACTATCAAGCCTTCCCCTCTCGTGCGTCAAAGCCTCCCGCCCTGCCTGCCAGTACTAGCCTGCAACTCACAAAAAATGAACCCACCTCTAAATAGCTATGGCAGCAAGTAGTCTAGCAGTCTGCAATCATATACACATATAGTTGCTTCTCATGTTGTTGTAGGCCATCAAAACATATTTGACAGCAAGAAGCCCAAGTTGCCTCGGAAGGATTCGGCAAAGGAGGAAGTCCTGACGTTAGGCGAGGGCCCTATTGACCGTACGAAGCTTCCAAAGGGGCAGAATAAACGAGGTCACCAGCCAAGAGAGAATCGTAGAAAATATGGTCACTCTTCTCAAGATCCAACTCAATTGAAGTGACAGAAAGCCTGGAAACTGCTAGCTACCAAGCACGTGACTACAAAATTCAGCATGTAATATAATGTAATTGACATGAACTGATTGTGTCAGTATAGATATGTATCGATGCTCCTTCACCCCCATGGAACTGAAAAAACAAATCCTTTCTCCGAGCCTTCAGGCTTCAAACTACCTGGAGGTGCGCCACCACAACTAATTATTTTTGCGTACTGATGTGGAAAGAAGAAACATTGCCGTCGCTTTGAGCAATCGTCTTTGTTTAAACTGCTCGTTTATACAGCATGTTATTACTTACTTGTTGGATCTTAAATGGTACGAGCAATGTATGTTTATCTCAGCGGGGCTTTCTGACATTTTCGCGTAGCGGCTGCAGCTCTCTTTAAAGGTCATCTTCCGACCTTTGCTGCCTGCAAACCTTGACATGTACAGGAGAGAAGGCATTGAATCTCGTTCAACTTGTCCTTATCACCTGTCATCTCGCTTCTGCGTGATTCTGGCCTCTCCTTTTGCAAAGACATGCCAGCACAAAATGGGCTCATGCCCGATGCCCCTTTGAGGCCTATGAGATTTGGCCCCTTTGAAACTGCAATGGTGTCTTGCACAGTGAGTCGACAGGTCAAAGGGTCTGAAAAGGGAAATGCTATGCAAAGGCAATCAAATGAAATGGACAACGGGTTTGGAAACTCTATACTGTATATATACCTTGCTGGTGAACACAGCACGGATATGTGCAACCCTTGAAGTTTCATGCATGTGGTCACCCCGTCCGTGAGTGCAGGAGGTAGGCAAACAGCTCTACATAGCTCTACTGGTACAAGCTTGGCATTGGCGCCGCAAGGGATCATTGGCGGTATGCTTTGCATTTGCAGAGTTGGATTTGGATGTGGTCACTCAATGGCCGCACAAAAGCAAGTGAGACCTTACAAAACAATGAACAACCAAGCAAGAAAAGACCTTAGTATATTTTAGGATTGCATGATGATCTCAGCCTAAGATACTTGAGAACTTCTTGGCGGCAGTTCCTTGAAAGGGTTCCCGGCATTTGTGCCGGATCTTGTCCTGCGCCAGGACTCTAACCGCAATTAGTAGCTATGGTGTTCGTGATGGATGGAATGCGCTGACTCCACCGACCACAAGCTTCAAAAATAGCAGCAGCTTGTGCTCCAAGGGCGTGTGTTCATTCCCTGATGATGGGGAAGAGTGACAGCAGGCTCAGCAATTCCCCAGAATCGACCAATCCAACTTATAACGTACATAAGTTTCAAACCAGGTTTGATTCAGCGTGAAAAGGTCTTTAAACAACAATCTTAAATGTGCTCGGACTGCTGCTCTGGGTACACCACCCAGCCAGGCCAAAGTACGACAAAGCTGATTTTCTGTCAACCAATCCATTGCAAGAAAGCACCCACAGAAGCAACTAGAATGTTGTAAGCTTGCAGTTCTTATAAGGGTTGCAAACAAAGATGCTCCTCTTTTTTCCCTCTTGTTTGTGGACGCTGAGTCTACACAGGGATGTAGGGTGAGTGGCCTTGGTAGATTATTGCATGTTGGGACTTGTGAAGTAAGCACATTCCGTATATAATTCCATTGCCTACATGAGTTGGTATGAGCACATGTGGCACTTGGACTTGAGGCTTGACTTCTCTACAAGCCGAATGCAAGTAATGGGTGTCAAAGTGTCAACACAATAAATTTCGTATCGGTTGTGGGCTACGCGGCTACCCAATTGCCATCCAAGTCAGTCACACGCTCAGTCTTCCCGGTTGTGATGTCATGTTGACTTCTATGTTCATAATCCGGAGGGGATTCTGAATGAATGCGTGACGTAAAGCCCTCGCAACCCCATGTCTTCTCTGCTGTGGTTTTCACTGATGAATGTACGTCCTACGGATTGGCAAGCGGCACAAGTATGTCAATATTGTACCGTCCGCGCACTTGCACTGTTCATAGTTGTCACCACATGAGGGTTGAGAACTCATGAAATTTCAGTATCATTCTGTAGCATGCTGCAACCGAGACTCTACTAAGAAACATGGCACAAGCTGTGTCTGTCAAGCGCACACATTAACGAAGCAATGCAATTTTCAGCACTGCCCCGCACAGACCTCCCGAACCGATCTCCGAAAAACGTTTGCTATCAAACCACAAACTTGACCAGAACACATACATATAATAGCACAATCGTGCGTCCCACAACACATAGGTTTGTGAGTGACAATATGTCAAAATAGCACTTCAAGATACTTCAACACTGTATAATATAATCC